ACAGCTTAAAGTTCAGCGACGTTTGTCTCTTTCCAAAGTAGCTGTTGGAAAGACACAATTAATGAGTTAAGCCAAGTTTAAAGTTGAGCAACGTTGGTAAAGCAAGGCTTACGGTCCGGTTTCACCAAACGTCGCTTAGTTTAATTCACGCTCGCCTCTTTCTAAAGTAAAACAGCTGGAAAGAGACGAAACGAATTGAGCTAAGCTCAAAGTTACACAACGTTGGCGTAGAAACATTCTATTTCGTAGCCAGTAAAGACGTTTAACAAATTTGTGCAAGATTGTGCCAGATTGTACGTCGACAAATTTTTTTAAGCCTTTTGATATATTTATATAAAATAGAGTGTTTCAGTGGATGCAGAGAGTATATATACATTGTAAATTACGTTTTATACTTTGATTTGCTTGTATCCTAGCAATATTAGAGACCTTTCCGCATAGATTTGCCAGAGTTGTGGCAATATTTGCAACCTGTATCTTATGTAAGTGCTTTAATGTAACGGTCGTGTAATATATGGGCGAGTGGAAAGAGAATGCGAAAGAGAGAAAGGGACAGAAGTATTCACGATAACCTAAAATCTGTAGTTTTTAACTCATTCTATTTCATATTTCATAAACGTGTGCGAGTAGACACGAGTAGACACAATATATGCTGTAACAATAAGTAACGGTACTAAATACAGCTCACATTTAGTACAGACATATATAGATAGATACATATATATGTATATATAGATCTTGTAGTCTTACAAGATATGTGTAGGTGGTAGCAGTGAGTGGTGCACCTCCTCATAGTAAATATAGATTTGATCAACACGTATTGCATACAGTGAGGCTCAAGTGAAGGGATGTGCACGGAATTGATTCTCTCGTTGGGCAAATGCATTAAAATACTTATGATTGATGAGTTTTGTTGTACTTTGCACGCTGGCTGTGCCCGTCTCGCCGAGTGCACTGACAAGTGAAAAGTGGATATTGATTAGTCTAGCATTTGCAATCAGTATGGTCGTTATGTAAAATTATTCTCGCATTTGAATACCATCTGAAGTTGACTTTTGAACAACAATGCGGCTTTTAAATTTTATTATAGATGGCAAGTGCGATTCTAGACTGCGATTGGATAAAATAACATACTTTTCTTCTAGACTGCGATTGGATAAAATAAGATATTTGACTTTTATTGTAGATTGTGACTGGACAAAACAAAGTGTTCATTCAAGGGCCGAGTCAGGTAGCCACGTCTCAGAGTAAACAGCACATCGTGATTCATCGTCCGATAACTACTGTGAGCACCGCGGCGTCTTCGCAGGCTCAGAAACACATCTTACTTAGAAAGTCAACGTCCACCGCTCAGATAGTACCCTTGAACACCACGCAGGGAAATCAGACCACCGCGCAAGTGGGGAAGCACACGTTTGCGTATTTGGGAACCCTCATTAAACCGAAGACACGGGAGTCCGTTGTTATACCTGCGGGTAAGAAATCTTTGTATTTTAGACATTTAGATAACCACTTGACAATTCTTCGGCCTACGCGATGCAAAAGGAAACCAACCCAATACTTGTTACGTCCAACAAAGTTTTCATTTTTATCAATTACTTGGCATTGATTTATTCGGTGTTGCATTCTAACAGGGGCTCTAACGCAAACTCAGATAACCAAGCCGAAATTAGTAATTACTCCAGTAATATCGCAATTAGCTCAAACATCAACGAGTACCACTAGCGGCTCTCAGAGTCAACCGAAGCACATGGCGAATTTAATATTGCCGATGAACATTCCCCAGCAAAGCGGCACCACGAAGCCCAGCATGTTCAATCTAAAAATTAATAATGGCCAACTCAGTACGGAGAGCAAAGGTACCATAACAGGTACAGAGATAAATTTCCATTAATTACTTGGTATATCGTTTTGAGGGAAAATGTAAAATGTTTTTGTTGTATTGCACAATTTAGTGTTGCGCGAGTCAAAAACGACGAATTCAACGACGCATCCTCCACCGCTGCACCCGATAACGAAAATGAGCCTTTTAAGCACAAGCAAGGGTAATTCTAATTCGATAGACAGTATAAAAATCACTGAGAATCCGGATTCTGCCGTTATCACGCCAATCCCGAAAAAGGAAGACAACCAGCCGGAAAAGCGGAAAAAAACAATTAGCAACATATTACGAGGCTCTACGGAGAAACGGATGAAGAAGCAAAATATCCCAAAATCTCCTCAAGACAGTTTAGCTGATACTAATTACGCCCTGAGCAGTCCAGAGTCTGAAGACAAGGACAAAAAGGCTCAAAATGATGATGACATTACGTTAATAAAAGTTATTCCTAGTGAGGATAAAGTTTCAAAACTTAATACGAATATGGATGACGATATAAAAATAGAAATAATTAAGGCTCCATCGAACTGTACCATTGAAACAATGCCAGACAATAAGAGTGAGGCGAAGAGTAACAATTATGAGGACACGAAAGAACAGTTGAATACTCTGAATCAGAACAGTACGAATTTTGATGCATCTAAAGTTTTAGACTGGAAAGACGGTGTCGGTACTTTACCTGGAAGTAATTTGCAGGTAAAAGAAATTAATGCAGTAATGTCAACTTAAATATGCAAGTTTGTGCATCTAGAAAAGACTGAGTGCTTTCATGCTATTATTTAGTTTTTTTTAAATGCATTTTACACATTTCAGTTTCGTATGAATGAATTTGGTATCATGGAAGTGGTAGACGAAGATGAAAGTAGTAAACAGAATAAGGATGGAATTGGTGACAAAGAAAATGTATGTTTAACACAAAATTCCTCAAAGACCAGCTCAGGAATCGTGAATAATACTAACGTAGAGAAAAAAGGTAACTTGCAAACAGTATCTCGATAAGTGTCTTGGATATAATATTTACATGTTACTACAATGAAATATCTTTAATTTCAGTTGAAGATAGAAAATCTAGGTCTGTAAGTTCAGACACTGTGTATCATTGCGAAGGTTGTGGTTGTTACGGATTGGCTGCTGAATTTGAAAATCCAATATCGTGTAGTGCTTCCTGCACAGAATTGATAGAGGCTAAAAAACTTGCAAATCGAAAGGACAAGGATCTAAAGTACGTATTTTATACATATTGTAACGACGCTCCCTCGACGGAAGGACGTTGGCAATCCCGCGGGTCTCGCTCGCGCACTCTCACACTCGCGCGCGGACGCGTAAATAAGAGACACCGTTTTCTCAACGTATAGTTTTATTCGAAGAATAACGGCTCGTTTTTCACGTCTTAAAATCCACCAAGCTCTGCACGTAATCCATCCAACTTATTTACAAAACAACCAAAATCGCTATCGTGGCAACCCACCACGATACCAGGCGTCGCTTTCCAATCGCGGGCGTAACAATATATATATATAATCCTAATGTACAATAATTAAGAAATTATAAGACTTATTTATGTGATTGATTGTACAGGGAAGTACGCATGAAAAAGAAACGCAAAAGGTTATTGCAAGAACCACAATGGCCAAAGGAAATAGATGAAAGGACTGATGAGAAGACACATGACAAAATAAAATTGGAGATCGATGAGGAAAAAGACGCGATAGCAGGCATAGATGACGAGATCCAGGGAGATTCGTCAGAATCGAAGGTAAGTCGCATGTGGTAGTTAAAGTATTAAATTTAATTTAAATTGAACGTGTTAAAAGTTAAACATGTTATCTAAGTTTTAATCTTATTGTATGCGCAGTATCCTTGGCAAAGGGGGAAGCTAGGTTTTTCGTGGCCAAAGTACCTCGAACATTGTAAAGCAAAAGCAGCGCCCGTCAAGTTATTCAAGGATCCCTTTCCCTATAGTAAAAATCACTTTAGAGTTGGAATGAAATTGGAAGGCATAGATCCGGAACATCCTTCTCGATATTGTGTTCTGACTATTGCTGAGGTTGTAGGTAAGTCATTAAAAATTACATACACGCTGTTCCTATTCTCCTATATAAAAAAAATGCGTGTTAAGCCGATAGTCGAAAGTCTCGAAGTATTGTCGCTTTTCCGAAATGCTGATTGGCTGTCTCGCGATACGACATGCTTCAGTCGTGTTATTTGCAGCTGTCAAACCATGCAAATTTTTTAAGAGAGCAAATGTCGCGCGCAAAGCGCGCGCTTGTGTTGTCTGGTCTCTAGTATGAAAAAAAGCGTGTTAAGTCGATAGTCGAAAGTCCCGAAATATTTTTGTCGCTTTTCCGAGATGCTGATTGGCTGTCTCGCTTGTGCGATACGACATGCTGCAGTCGAGTTATTTGCAGCTGTCAAACCATGCGAATTTTTAATGAGAGCAAATGGCGCTCGCGAAACGCGCGCTTGTGTTGTCTAGTACTATAACATTTATAACATGTATTTTTTCTCCAACACACCTGCATCTTTAACTTATTAACAATTTAGATTTTTTAATACTTAATCTTTCACTCTATGCTATCGTTTGCGCACATTTAAGTGTTCTTTCCTATTTTTTTTACAGAAATTTACAGCCTCTAAAGACCACATATCGTTACATTCTAACCATTCATAGACTATGTAGAGATATTTTACTCGTAGCAAATTCGGTTTGCACTAGTGCGCTATAATATATAATATGTATAATATTTTGTTGTAATCCGTGGTCCTCTATGTACTTGTCTATTAATTCGGAAACTGTCTTGATTTTGTCTCGTGTCTTCTTTTCCACCTTTATAAATTGTATGACGTTACTCAGGTTATCGAATGCGTTTGCATTTCGACGGTTATCCAGAAAATTATGACTTCTGGATAAATGCAGATAGCATGAATATATTTCCCGCCGGTTGGTCCGAGAAGAACGGCAAGAAATTGAATCCACCGAAGGGTTACACATCTGGGAACTTTAATTGGAATGCATATCTAAAAATCTGTAAAGCGTCCATAGCAGCGAAGAATCTATTCCCAAATAAAGGCGCGCTTCAAAGCGTCTTTCCCACGGGCTTTCGCGTGGGCATGAAGTTGGAGGCAGTGGATAGAAAACATTCTTCTCTGCTTTGTGTCGCTAGTATAGCAGGTTTGATGGATTCTCGAATATTGGTCCATTTCGACTCTTGGGACGAGGTATATGATTACTGGGCTGACGCAAGTTCGCCGTATATTCACCCTGTCGGATGGTCTCATCACAACGGACGCGTCCTAATGCCACCAAACAGTAATTTGAGATTAACGCATTATATACATTATACACTCATTTATGATTCTTCCGCATGTAATTGTGATATCTATGATTAGATTATAAAGATCCGAAATCGTTCACTTGGGATGCATATCTGAGAGAAACCGGCTCGTTGGCTGCTCCGGCCAGGGCGTTCAAACAACGTCCACCGTGTGCATTCAAACGTGGCATGAAACTGGAAGCGGTGGATAAGCGGGTCCCGCAGTTAATCAGAGTAGCAACGGTCGAGGATGTAAAGGACCACCTGTTAGTATCGATTACACATATTCTCTACACAGCTTCTTTTCGCAGGATAGTAATTGCATTTTTTTTACATAGATTGAAGATAAAATTCGATGGCTGGCCGGACAATCATGCTTATTGGGTTGACGACGATTCACCTGACATTCATCCTGTGGGCTGGTGTGCGAAAACTGGTCATCCACTGGAAGCGCCACTGAGTAAGCTACCTTATTTTACATTTTGTATATTATACAGTACTCTGATTCGCCTATACAACGTGATTGATTTATTTCCATTGTTGCGTAGCACCCGATAATCTGAACGATCGACCGGAATGTGGCACGTACGGCTGCCGAGGTATAGGACATGTGAAAGGACCTAAATTTGTAACGCACAATTCGGCATCCGGCTGTCCGTATTCTCCTCAAAATCTAAATAAATCGGGACAGATGCCCGATAGACTCAATTTGTCCAAGAACCACGACTTCCACGAAACTTACGATTACGAGGTGGAGCTACAGGAAAAAGTAAAACTAGAGAAGACTGACAGAATAAAGGTAGAAAAGCCTGACAAGTCCGATAAACTTTTGCTCTCGGACGACGTAATATTAATGATGGAGAAGGACATTAAACAGGAAGATGGAGATTTTTCGGATAAGAATGACAAATCAGAAAATAGATCAGAAAATTCGGACAAGTATGAGAATATAGTAATAACAATATCAGTGGAGCAAATAATAGATGAAATAATTGCCTACTTATTTATATCGTTTTAGATGTAACAAGTTCAAGAATCTGCACAGCGACGGACAAACGGACGACGACGAAATTTCGAGAAAACGTAAGAAAAGGTGTGTTACCGAAATCGTAAAAGCGGACTTGTCTCGTGCCCGATCATACTCGCGTAATATTACGATTCAACGGTAATATATTTTTAGACATCCAAATTCGGAAGAGCCTTTGTTCTCCGTTTCCAACGTCACATATGGCGATCTGCATTGGAGTACTGCCTCGTATGCCGCGAATGTACCGGTCAAGCAGTTGCGCAAAGAGTTGTATCAGTCTGTATATAATCCAGGATATAATCCTTTGCCGAATGCACCACATATATGGGCGAAACATAGCAATGCCTTAAACAGAGTAGTATCGAGGCAAACTACGAATCCGCGACGATGGTCTAATGAAGAAGTGATTAAGTTTATACAGAGTATGCCTAACTGCGCGGAGGCTGGAAATGTTTTTCGGCAGAACGTAAGTTTCAAAGAAAGCGTACAATCGTGTCAGCAATTAGCTCGAGTACCAAGGATACTAAGGGGACATATTTTTCCGTTATTTTTTTTATTGCAGAATATCGATGGTGAGGCATTTTTAATGTTGACTCAAGAGGATTTAGTGTCGGTACTACGTCTGCGACTCGGGCCTGCGATTAAGTTGTACAATAGTATAGTTTTACTACGTCAAAAGGCATCATAAATTAAATGCATGTCTCGTTGACTGGCGAATGGTATGTGCAGCTGTTGTGATGGAATACGTCGCCTATAATTTATTTAAAATATCAAGGAAATCTAATATATTATATTATTTTTTCTTGCTAATAAATTTGCAAACTTTTTAAACGGGCGAGCGGGCAAAAAGGAAATAAATATATAACAGTTACGAAAGCAAGCATTTGCAAATGAGACAATTAAAAAATTTTTGTTTAAAATTTTCCATTCGATTGATCAGTAGAGAAGAGTTATTGCAAAAAATTAAAAAGGTTTGTACCACACATTTTATTTTGACATTTCTGTGAATCTTACAATGCTGTATGCATGGCTTCAAGTACTTAGGACCTGATACGATGTAATTTTTCGTATAAGATAAATGTATTGAATCTTGTACAAATGTAAATATTGTTTTAATTATTAGTATTGTAATAAAAATACTTATGTAAATCTTTTCACCTAATCATGCCATTCTGAA